GGTCAGAAATCTATAGAAGTCCACCGGATCATCTCTGGGCCATTTCCGAGGGACTGAGTGACTGAGATGGTGCTTCTATCAAAAGAGTTAGGTCGTCCCTTTTCGGAAAAGATGGGTGAGTAATCTGCTCACGTTGCTGTGAATGGCCACCGGCGCTTCAACATCTACGCCCGGAAGGATTCCCTTGGGCCCCCCCCCCCCCTCCTCATCTGACTCCCCTTCCTGTCTGGCGTGTCCTTCGGTCGGCTCTTCTCCTTTCATCCTCGTCTGCCTCACTCATAGCCCCGAATTCAAGTCATCTCTTCGCTACGTATCCATTCAAAAGCCAAGACAGCCATTCAGCCCTAACGCATCGTACCTGCAAGCCGCGTGTCAGCCTCCCCGCTTCAGCCCGACTGTGCTAGCCATCAGGCGGAGCCACGTCTTGGGTCTCGATACACTCGTACATGGCGCACGCCGTCGCGCCCCATCTCCACCACCACCAGGACCACCTACCACTGCCGCTGCTACGTATTGCCTCGACGTGACCGCCAAACTAAATCACCGCTGCCGTCAGCACACGTTATAAACCCGGCCCTCCATCCCACTGTCCCGAGCTGCCGGGTCCTGACATCTTGACACCACCATCTGTTTGCTCGTCTGATTGTCAGGCACACATCGCCACGCCTTCAGTTTATAGCCACGCCAACCCCCCAAAATTCGTCATGTCCCAGTCACCTCCGTCAAAGTCCGAGGCCATGTCCAGGTCCAAGCCAGAATCTAATTCTGGCATCGTAAAACACAGAGCATGTGATGAGTGCCGTAAGCCCCCCTTCCTGTTGCGTCTGCATTGTATTCCAGACCTCTGACCATGACCCTTAGGAACGCGCAAGCTGGCCTGCTCGAAGGAGCCCGATGGCTGCTCTCGGTGCCGCAAAGAAGGCATCCTCTGCGTCTATTCGGCGCAGAAGCCCATGGGCAGACCACGGAAGCGCCGCCATATGGAGGATGCCGAAGAGCAGCCATTGACGACCCAGCCAGAGATGGCCAGCCTGCAAGACTCGTTGAGACCATCATCACATGTTCAGCCTGATTCGCTACCGGTAAGCAGCGACCTGGACTTGGACTTTGCGTCCTTCTACCATGGCGACAATGACTACCTCGTCAACACGGACATGTCGACGATGGACTTTTTCGCTCCCGTCGGCGGCATCCCCTCCATGGCTCCCGACTTTGCTAGCTTTGCCATGCCGTACTCGGAACCTCAACTGGCCGCCAGCGGCTTGCAGTTCGGCGGCGTTGACCTGTTAGGTGGCATCAACTTCGATGACAAGGACCCGGCTAACAAACAGGTGTCCGAAGATATCACTACTGACATGAACTACATCTACTCCAAAGCGCCTGTACGGTTCGCCAAAGATCAACCCGCACCGGCGCATGACCTTGCGTCGGCACCCCAAGCAGCAACGTCCCATCAAGTGTCATTTCCCTACTCCTCTCAACACCAGAACCAGACGCCGAACCCGGAGTCGTCCGATGCTTCGACTTCATCAGCTACAACACCGGCCTCCTCGCCCAACTCCGACGTCAGCCCCAAGCCTGCCCACAAATCCATACCCCACATCAACTGCGCCTGTCTTTCCCAGATCTATCTCTCGCTTGACTCGCTGTCGAGACTCCCCGATGACATTGGCGCAGCGATGCGCGCTGCCCGCAACGCCGCCAAGACGGCTCACAATCTCATCACATGCCCGACGTGCAGCACCCCATACATCGACGACCCGTCTAGGCAGGCGCCGATGCAGGCCTTTCAGAACACCATGCTCCTCGGCATGCTGATTCCGACCGTCGTCAATGCCTACGTGCGCATCCTCGAGCTCGTCGACGAGGTCACCGCCGAGGCCAAGGCGAAGGGCCAGACGCTGCTCTTCCGCTTCGTCGAGTACGGCGGCCTCTGGGGCGAGCTCGAGGCGATTGACAAGTTCACGTGCCGCACGGTCGAGACGTACGACAACAAGGAAATGGAGCCGGACAAGTGGCGCATGACGATTCGGGCGGTGCTCAAGATTGACATTTACGGCTTTGACGTCGACTGCTCGTCCGTGCTCGACGGGTCGCGCGTCACGCACCGCCACCTTGGGCTCAAGGACGTCATTGGCCTCATGGAGGAGAGGTCGAACCACCGGCACGATCAGATCGATGCCATGGTCGCCGCGGGCCTGCCGCACCCGATGCAGGGGAACCCGCTGCTGCCGAACAATCACCGGCCGACGGGCAGCAAGGACGATCGCAACTGTCTGAAGATTGTGGAGATGGCGAGGACGGCCTTGGACAATCTGGTGATTGCGTAAGGCGTGACCTATGACTTTTTTTTTTCTTTTCTTTTTCTCTTCCCGAGGGTTGTTCCCTCTAGCAGATGGAAGAGGGATGAAGTCGAGGGTGTCGTTGCGGACATGTGATAAATGAAGGTTAGTAGGCGGGCTTGGCGTATTACGACGACGCTATCTCGTGTGTATTGTTTGGTTCGGGGCACAGCTATGATATCCAAAGGCAACATCTAGACTTTTGCTCTCTTTTTCACAGAGACAAGACCTGAATGCATTTTCATGCAGTTGCTGCACCTCCGTGTTCAGAGGGTCGCATTCGCAGTGCAGCCTAGGCTCAAGGCGGAAAGCCGTTCAGCCATGTACCTGCAGGCGGCGAGACGGCTGCCCCTGAGGAGCCGATGGTGCCGGTCGCTGTGCACGATTCGCAGTGAATAGGGAAGAAGCATCCTGTTCGGCCATTGGACTAGCAGCCACAGCAAGACACGGCGCCCAGCGATGTTGCGTCGATGACCAGGTCCCTGTGACACCACGGATCCCGAGCGTCGCGAGGAACAGCCACAAGCCGAGCCTGGCTCACAAGCCGAGCCTGGCTCACGGAAGCCGCGCACCGCATCAGTCGGGCCCCCTGAATTGCCCCCCTTCCCCCGCTAACGCCAAACAGCCAAGCGCCAGACGTGACTAAGATGGGGGCCTCGACCGGGGCGTGGTCGTGGCAGATCTGAGATACCTATGGAGCGTGGAAGCTCCGCCCCATGCTGAGGCGCTCTGCTGACCCGACTCTGCTGGTCATCGCGCCTGGCTCTGCCTGCCTTGCCTGGCTATTTGCCTGCCTGCCCATCTGCTGTGCCCATCTGCTGTGCCCATCTGCTGTGCCCATATGCGAAAGCGAGCGACGACATCGTGATTTCCTTACGTCTCTGCCTCAGTGGCTGACTTCAATCTTACCCTCCCCCCCTGCGAGACGTAACTTTCCTTCACCTGCACTACTGTTGCAACCCTCTTTTGCGCTCCCTTCTCCTACCATCATCCATTTCTCTCTCTCTCTCGCTCTCCCCCCTCCGTATCCTCTGCGCTGGTCTTCGTTTCGGAAACCCCCTCCCATTCATCCAGAAATTGGTCGTTTTCTTCCACTCGGCATGTCCATCTGACGCTGCTGTCATCGCCCGG